CGATGCTTTTTTGCTATTTTCTGGCACTTTTTCAGCATTTTCTGACATGTTTTCAGATTTCTGATGCTTTTTATAGATGTTTTCCGTAGTTATGACACTTTTTCACTTATTTCTGATGCTTTTTTACTGTTTTCTGACTATTTTCTGCCATTTTATAGACTAAACATTTAATTGAGAGCATAACTGACAGAGGACTTTTCCTGTCTCTTGGAACTCTTGTTTTATCTCCTTCTGCTGCTGCTTTTATGCACATTAGCAAAGACGTCCACATAAATCTGTCACCTGTTTCTGAAAATAGAACTTCCTCCTGTTCGGGATTACGGGTGTACGTTCCTATTGTTCATGCTGAAAGCGAACGTACATTCTCTTCTCCTGGCTGCAGATCAAATATGTGCCGAAGTCACCTGAGTCCAGCTTCAGTCTCATGTTCAGCAGTCAGACTGGTCCAGTGACGACGCACTAAGACTGCACTTCTCGTCTTATAGTTGTTAAAACCATGCAGGTGTTCACGTGTAGTCTGTTACCAGAATAATGAATTAATCCTCAAAGGCTGCTGATGTTGTGCTTTTCACCGGAGACTGATGAGATTATATCAACCAACCAGTCGACTCTAGAAATAGGGACTAAAAATCTACAAATGTCTGTTGACTCCAAAGAAAGCAGCGAAATTTCACAGTTTAGAGACTGGAATCAGCAAATATTTGTCATTTATAGCTTAAAAACTGCCTGTAACAATAATTTTATCTAATTATTGTCCCTTTCTTGTTAACCTGAACATTACAGCTCTGGTTGTTTTGGATTCATGCTGTGCTGCTTTTTGCTAGTTAAAGGATAAAGCTGATGTAATATTAGACGAACATCTCTCTGACTTCCTCAGTCCGTCTGTGATTTCAACTTTAAGCTCATCTGAATAAAAAAAGCAAAAACAAAACAATGGTTCAGTAATCCCTTAAACAGCTAAAACGAATCTGTTGAGGACTATTTTTTGTGGTGGATTAATCTACATTTGGTGCTGAAGCAAGTTGTCGTGGCAGCAGAATAATCTCACTCATGTGTTTTTAATAGTTCTTGAACAAAATCTGCAGACAACTTAAAGATCTCAGGCTTTAAATACACACTCAGTGTTTATTATTAACACAATCAGAATAATAAACATTATGACCACATGTATCTGTAATTATTTAGCATCTGATTTTAACGATTCACTTTGTTTTTCGCCTCGTGTCGTCCTCAGACTCGACTCCTCAGCTGCGAGGGACGGGGGCGGGGCCAAAGAAGATGGGCGTGACCTCGGCAGTGTCGGACGAATCGGTGGCTGGCGATAGCGGCGTGTACGAACCCTCGGAGCGCAGGTACGAAGGGTTTGTTCCTAAAACAAATTTAGGATTTTTAATCACAGTTTTGAGAGCGCCGCATTTAATTTCACTCCACATAATAAAACAATCTCTCAATCCTTGATCCACTGTTTAAAGTTCTGAGAAAACAGTAGACGCGTAACAAAACCAACACATTTATAAACTTTAAAAACTGTCTGTGTGTTTGTAATTTGCTGTAAATGTCAAATATAAATCTCTTTTTTGTTACAAATCAATGACTGGAGAAATCGGGACCTACCATCCAACACATTTACGATCTGGAGGTTAAAATGAGAATTAAAAAAGCAAAAATTTTCTATCTGCCGTTACTATCAGGCCGGTTTCTTTTAATTCAGAGAGAATTCAGGACATTCGTTGCTGAAACGTCTCAGATTTTGTTCTGAGTTTCCCTGTTTGTTATTTAAGAACCAGATCTAAGTTCTGTAAAATATTTTGGCCAAATTTTGAGAATTTCACACCTCAAAATTTTTAGTTTTATTGAAAGAAACGTCTTTTTACGGGTTGAATATCTCCAGAAATAAAACTCCCACAGCTTTTAAATTTGGCGAGGACAAAAGCAGAATGGTTTGGAGCCCATTTAAACGATCAAGTGGCTCCAGCAGAGGCCAAATTTAAAATTACTGGCCCTTGAAAATGTAAAAAAAGGGCCAAATTTTTAAACGAGGATTGCACTGTGGCCCTCAGAAAGTTCCTGTAATTGTATATCTATGGATTGATCCATATTTTGTACTAAAAATCCTCTTTGGTCGACATTTCACCGACTGTTTAAGCTCCAACATCAGTAGAGTTTGATGTGAGCTAAGTATGACAAGACAAGGTTCCAGTTTTTTGCTGTTTTGACGAAAAAATAACTGTAAACTTGAAAAGTTGCACTTTTTTCCATTGTCATTGTCCAGTGTTTTAAAATGTGGCCTCTGCTGGAGCCATTGAATCATTTGGATCTGCTGTGAACTGTTCCGTCCTCATCCGCTTTGACTGCTGTGGGAGTTTTATTTCTGGAGATATTGAACTCTGAAAATGGCCTCCTCTTTCTTTTGAGAGTGAAATTACTGAAATTCCCAGATTTTAATACATATGAAATGTTAAAAATACAGCCAGAATCTTTTAACAGTGTTTGAGTCCTGTTGGTGTGGTTCTGGTGTCTCCTCCAGGCCGGGCCTCCCTGCTGACCTCCTGCTGGGCTCCTACGAGGAGAGGCTGGCTTCGGGCTGCTCTCAGGTGCAGCTCGGCTTCCGATACGAGTCCAGAGACCAGCGATTCACCGTCTACGTCATGCAGCTGTCCAACTGCGGCGCCCTCTGTCTGCCCACCGACCAGAAAATGTACGAACCCTCATCTTAGTGGACGAAATGTAGAAAGGCTTGTTTAGTTTTTTCCTCGGGCGTGTTTGTTTGCCTGCAGCCTTCTGTTGGCTCATGATGGCTGTTTTCTGTTTACATGGGAAGATAATTTCAAATCTCATTTAAATTTTAGACTTAACCCGTATTTTATTCAACTTAAAAGCATGAATGTTTGAGTTTCAGTCTCAAGCATAATTCTTAAATCTTCTATATTTTATTTTACCACACGTTTCTAAAAAGAGTTACAAAGGCGCTCGATTCGCAAAAAGAAATAAAATACACTGAAGATTTGTCAATTCAACCTTTATTTAAGCTTGAGAGATCAGAACTTTACAGGGACGTTGAGTCAAATTCCAAAGGCGAAGAAAATAATTCAACTAACAACGAGTAAACACCTCACCGTAGATGGTTAAATATTGTTAAATAAAGTAGATAAACACCAAAGTATGCCGTTTAGAGATTATCTGTCTGATAAAATGATTAGACTGTAAATTATGACAAAAATATGATAGTAAACGAGGAATTGAAGGTTTATTCATCTGAACAAGACAACATAAAGGCTTGTTTGTCATTCCATATAAAATCGACCAAATCTGAAGGAAGTTCCCACCTGAACCCTCAGAAGCAGCTGGTTTTTATGTTCAACACTTTTATTATATTTAATGAAGCCAAGCAAAATGGGGAAATTGTCGTGACACAGAAGGAACGATGTCTAGAAGGTGATCCTGGTGTCAAATGTAGGTACAAATGAGACCATTTCACCTCCTTTGCTTCCAGTCAAACTGCCCACAGTCTAACTTTCCAAAACACATTTATTATTAACATCATAGTTCTAGACCTTCATCGTGTCGACTTTTATTTGCCTGTTGACGGTTTAGCACCGAAATGTTGTGCTGATAAATGTATCTGCGGAAGTCCGATTGGAACTCTTGGATTTACTCGTCCTTCTCCTACAGTAACTAAATTTGCTCCTTTGTTTCAGTCACGTTCTCTTAAAAGGCAAATGGTCAACGTGTGATTGAACTTCCTGTTTGCTGCAGGTATGTTCGCGTGGTGGTGCTGCCCTGCGTGGAGGCGACGCGCTGCCTCTTCCGAACTCGCGGCTCGCTGCCTCAGGACACCGTGGAGTTCAACGAGGTGTTCGGCATGCAGATCTCCCACAGTGCACTGCGGCAGAAGACCCTGAGAGTTGACGTCTGCAACACCAGCAAGTCGGGCCACGAAGACTGTCTGGTTAGTGTCCGGTTGAGTTCATGTTTGCTGCTGCTGCTGCTGCATCCTGTTACAACAGAGTTCATAGTCAAGTGAAATAAAGATTAGCTGATCAGTTAATGTGTTTCAGTGATTATAGTATAAAGACACCTGTATGTGGAAGGTCCAATCACTGGTGAATCAGGACTCCTGGTTATAACTACACTATGAAGACTAAAGAACACTTCAAGCAACTCTGGAAAAGAGTTAGTAAAAAAAAGCACAAGTCAGGGGACGGATAGAACATTTCCAGGCTACTGCATATCCATTGGAGTCCGGTTAAATCTATGAATAAGAAATTGAAGGGATATGGCACATGTGAAAATCCTTAAAAACTGAGTCACAGAGCAGGAAGGACATGAGTGAGGATGGCAACTAAGACATCTATGACTCCTCTGAAGGAGCTACAAGCTCCAGCAGCTGAGATGGGAGAAACTTACAACAGATGTTTCCTGTTGTTTACCAGTCAGAACTTTAAGGGAGAGTGGCAACAACCTAGGTGCTATCACAAACACACCATCCCCACTGTGAAGCACGGTGGTGGCATCATCATGATGTGAAACATGGTGGTGGCAGCATCATGATGTGAAGCATCATGAAGTAGGGATTATTCTCAACAGCAGCCCTGGAACGCTTGTAAAGGTAGAGGGTAAAGTGAATGCAGCAAATTATAAAGAAATCCTGGAGGACAACCTGATGTAGTCTGCAAAAGAGCTGAGACTTGGAGAAGATAGTTGTTTTTTTTTAATTGCAAGAAATGAATCAAAGCAAACAACCACAATTATACAAAAAAGGTTTCAAGACAACAAGGTCAATGTCGCAGAGTCAAAGTCAAGACCTCAATCCAACTGAGAATTAGTGTCTGGACGTAAAAAAGTTCTGTTCAATCATGATCCCTGTGTAACCTGACAGAGACGTGTCCACACGAGCTCAACACTGTAACTCAGCCAAAGGGGCATCTGCTGAACACTGACTGTACTGTTCATTAATGGACGTTGCTTTGTAGAAATCTGTTTTCACTTTCATGTGAAACAATCATTTTCTGTAAATTCCAGTCATAAAAGCCAAATTAAATCGATCACGATTCATTGTTATAAAAGGGGAAAAACTGTGCATTTTAAACCCAAACGTTCAGATGTGATGAGCTGCAGCGTTCGAAGCGTCTCTCCTTAACATCCCTGTTCCTCCTCCTCTCCTTCCAGGCCGGAGCTCAGATCAGTCTGGCTGACGTCAGCTGTTCGGAGGACAGACGCTGCAAGTGGTACAACCTGCTGAGTCGCGTCTACATGCCCGAGATCAGCAACAAGGACAAAGGCAGCAGAGCGTCTGGCAGCTCTGACCGGGTACTGAAGGAGGCGACACTGTCACCCAGTGGACGCTTTCTGACTTCCTGAAGTGCAAATTAGCATCTAGTGCAGCTCAAGGCCTCGTTTATCCAACTCCTAGTTTTTAAATTGTCTATATTTACTTTGTCCTGCTGTTAGTGAGGTTGAAACATAATTTTCTTAAGATATTATCTCACGTTTTTGGGAACTAAAGAAGTGATCTGGTTGCAGGAGAGTCCGTCCCATACCAAAACAGTGGAGTAGTTATTTAGAAAATGCCTGAAATCACCTTTGGTAACAGTAATTATCCACTAATTTACACCTGTTGATTTGAACCCCATAAGACCTGAGTTAGAATTTTTAGTGAATTTTTAATTTGTTCCCAGCAGTTTGGGATGAGTAGGATAAAAACGCTGTGCATTATCACAAACACACCATCCCCACTGTAAAGCATGGTGGTGGCAGCATCATGATGTGAAGTGATATGAAACTGTCTACTAATTTACACCTGTCAATTTGAATTTTCAGTTAATTTTTAATTTCTTCCCAAGCTGTTTGGGTTGAGTAGGATAAAAACAAAGCATTGTCTGTGAAGAAAAAACTATTTTTCTAAAGAAAATAATGACCTCATTTGAATTAAAGTTTCTTACATTTGCAAAAAAAAAAAAGTCTAATTTGTTCGGAATATCAAACTAAAAACATGACTGAGCATAAATATGCAATTTTAAATCAGAAAATTGGATGAGATTTTGTACCTTTTTTTACTTTTATTGGACTCTCAGCTGTAGGATTTTTTCATAACGAAGATTTTGCTAACGCTAGCTGGTACATTAAAAAGTTTGTTAATTAGGACTGCAGGTCTGAGTTCGGCAGAATGAAATTTTAGGTGCAACGAGGACAAAATTAAAAAGACAACAGAGGACACGAGGTCTCGGGAGGTTCACAAAAACAGAAATTAACTTGATAATGAAGTCATGTAAGATTGTTATTGATATTTTCTTGTTGGTTTTTACACCCTAAAAGCTCCTTTTTGGATAAAATCGTCAAGCTTCATTGTTTGGTCCTAATGTTTGCATTTTTTGCCGTAGACTCGTGTTTCCAGCAGCGACAGAGTCGGAGCTCCGGAAGACGATGAGTGGTGAGTTTTGTCGTCTTTCGTGCTCAAACTCCTTTTATTTATTCACTCATTTATTTGCTGTGTCTGAATAATACTTAATAACTCCCCAGTAAGCAATATGGGAGCACTTTTATGTCTTGAATCAAAAAAAGGCACTTGTACCATGATTTTAAAAAGCTCTCAGGTTTTGATGTTACGTGGTTGTATTTAGTAACATGGGCTGGTGAGGGATACGTTTAAGTCACTAATGATTCTGAAAGCGGCGTTCGTTTAATACAGGTTTTAATTTTACTTAATGAGCAACTTGTTTCACATGTAAACAAACATGTAGATGTCTGAAAAATCTCACCAGCTATCAGTGTTTTTAGATGAAATTGCTAACACCTATTGGCGGTCTCCTTCAGGATGAGCTGCAGTCGTTCTTGTGATGCTCTGGCTTCACAAGAGCGCCACCATGAGGCCAAAGCAACCTGAAAAACGAATGACAGTCCGTTCATCCTCAGCTGTGCTTCGTCTTGCCTAAACCTAATTTGTTTGCATGCAAACCTTTTTTCTATCTGACTAAAGAAGTCAAGTACACTCGATGCCGATAATCCGACCCGTAACAATCCGAAAACCTTGCTATCTGATAGGTTTTTAGGAAAAACGAAAGGAACCCATGAAAACTAGCCTTAATATACCGACAGCCTTGGATTCTGACTCCGACATGACATTTTATGTCACAAATAAGGCTAACGGCGTATTATCTGACTGAACAATCCCACAGATTGGCTACGTTCAGACTGCAGGACTTAATGCTCAATTCAGTTTTTTTTGTGAAATCCGATTTTTTTGTGAGTTCGTTTGCATTTTCAATTAAATGCGACTTGTATGTGATCTGCTGTGTGAACTTCATACGACCCAAAAGCGTCCCGCATGCGCAGAAGAGGACACAATGATGTCACATGCAGCGAGCGTGCTCAGTGTTTACGGAAGTAAACATAGATGGTCACGGTGGAGCGTATCTGCCACTCCCCCGCCGCCACCAATGGTAGAAACAGAACTGTGACCGCTAACTAAACTAGCATCGGCGGCCAAGTACTGCCTGTGTGTTCCTGCCACTTCCACCCCGTCGGAGTGCTCCCCCAGGGTGGAAGTGTCCCCCCGACCATGCCGAATATTTGGATATTCACCATTAATTGGATCTGTGTTGTTCAGACTATCATGAAAAGATCAGATACAGTTGACATAGGGGCAAAAAAATCAGACTTGGGTCACTTTAGCCTGCTGTCTGAACATATTTACCTTTTAATGTCAACGGACAGGCCTGTGCACAATCACATTGGTCAATTAGGCGTGAAATCCAGCGATGTGTAGTGTTCTATCAATACACTAGTTATTATAACAACTATAAACAATGAGTATTAACAACAAATGAGCCTTCAGGCATCAAGCCCTCCTTGTATCTCGCCCTCCGTCTTGACAATCCAACAGCCTTGTTATCCAACATAAAAGAAGGTTTTACATTTAGTGTCAGATTATCGAGTCACGACTGTGTTTAACCACAAGCAGGAATAAAATAAACATTTTCTTCTGATAGAAACTTCAATTTGTACAAAACATTTAACTTCGTGGTAATTATTTGATTATAAGAAAGGCATATTAAAGCATTCTTCTTGCTACTTCTTCCTTTAATACGTACAGACGTGGATATACATTTCCGTAAGAGTTTGTTGTACATTATTCCTTAGTTAAGTTTGAATAAGACTATTCTAATCCATTAATGAGCCCAATCTCTGTTGTTGACCATCAGGCATGGCGACCCTCTGGAGGCGGACATTTTTGACGATGAAGATGGAAATAGCGTGGAGGGGGTGGGGCCTCTGGAGGAGGAGGATGGGTTTTATCCTGACAGCAGCCAATGGGAGGCAGAAGAGGAGGAGGAGGAGGACGAGCAGGAAGTAGAGGAGAAGGTGACCAAACCTCCTCCAGCAGCGGCAGCACCCATCACAGAAAAGGTAACTCCTGTTTAGTTCAGCTACTGACGGTGTGCCAAATATATTTAGTTTTTTTCCTTGGATAGTTGTCAAGGAACTCTGACATTTAACCATAATGGAGAGAAAAAATCTGGAAGACAAGAGGCACAGAGGCAAATTTCAGCACCTTCAGAGGTCATTCATTGTGTTTTCAGTGACCGAGAAGTCAAAAATGTAAAAAAAAAACAAAAAAAACCCAACATATTTTCTTCCAACATAAGGGTCTTAAATGCCCTTTTAATTGAGTTAAATCATGCATTTCTTGCTTGAACTTGAAATTAGGGATTCCGACATCTAACGCTTAATTGCTTACTTACAGTTAATGAGTGTGATGGCAATTTCTGTTAAATGAAAAATGAAGTCAGAAAGCTTGTTTTTCTGTACATTTACTTTGGCATTTAGTGGTGGACTCACACACACAGAGTCAAATGAATGAGCTATGTGGAGTTAGCAAAGTGAAAAGGGAAACAAAGTCTTCTGTACAGCAAACAGTCTCTTTCTTCACCTTTAATTTTCATCACTGGTTGTGCACGAAGCAGTAAAAGCTGATGCTTCTTGACAATTTATGCTTAGAAGGTTACCATGATTAAACATTCTTAATTCAATTAAATAATTTAACCGATTAAACATATATCGAACCAATGCGGGAAAAGACGAAGGACATGCATGTCAGTAAATGTACTGTAGATCAGCTGTAGTACCTGGTTGTTCCACCAGGTGGAGCCTTTCACTGTTTAATACTGTAGAGACCAGAGGAGGCGTCACTCAGACAACAGGCAGCTCATGTTGGCAGCAGAGAGCATTGTGGGAGTTTAGCAGCAACGGGACCATGACAGAGATGACTGAGGAGTTTAATGACCTCCAGTTGGAGTCATGCATTTAAGACAAACTAGAATCAGCTTGGACAGTGTTTTATGAGCTGGTGGCTAATTTGTATCGACTGGTGACATAAGTAGGGAACAAAGTCCCTTATACTTGATTTGTGTCATAAATAATTCGATAATTGATTGATAACGCTGCCCGTTATCGGTTATAAAAATAATTCAAGGTTTGTATCCCTGTTCGACAGCTTTGAACCACCCTTACCTGTCGGTGTGCTGTTTTCTCTTTTATCGCTTGATAGGACTTTTGGAAAGCGGTTCACGTTGAACTTGTTTTGCATTTTTTACCCTTTAAGAATGTTCCAGATACCAACTCCCAATCTGACACCATCAATCCACTATATATGCTCGACACATCAATAGCTCTGCAGTGCTTTAAAAAAAAAGCAAAAAAAAAAAAAGCATTCCTACATCCAATCTGTTCCTAATGTTACGTTCTTGGTCAGGAACCTTGTCGTAAAGCTCCAGTAGGACACTGTCAGAAATGTAGAGTTAGAGGGTCGGCTGTACTGTGGATCCACAAGCTCCTAAAGACAGAAAAAACCTGTATTCTCTACATGCATGTCTAAAAATGTGTTGTAGTACCTGGTTGTTCCACCAGGTGGAGCCTCTTACTGTTTAATACTGGAGAGGTGTCACTCAGACTACATGTTGCAAAGCAGAGAGCATTAACGGGCACCAAGAGAGAGACTTATGTGATGGTTAATGACTTCCTGCCAAAGCTGCTCTATTTCTATTAAAGCCATCCTGTCACAGCTGATTCTCATGTGATAATGGACGTAAACAAAAGCTCAAGTTAGTGCCAATACTGATCTGTTAATAGCTTAAACCCTCCAGGCGCTCTGCTCCTCCTTTGTTTACATCTTGTCCCTGCTACGTTTCCTTCATCCAGGTGAACAAGGAGACCAGCATGGACGGCTTGTCGTCCCACCACTGCTCGGTGGTTCGGCCCAAAGAACGGCGCCCGGACGTCCACCAGCAGAACCCGTTCATGAGGGGCAACACCATCATCCGCTCCAAGACCTTCTCCCCCGGACCTCAGAGCCAGTACATCTGCAGGGTAACAACCTCAACAAACTTTTTTTACTCTACTCTGCACCTCTGTAGAGGTGTTTCACCGTGCTGAGTGTATCTTCCAACACCTTGTTCCTCTGTGTACCGTTTTTAAAGCCATGATGCATTTATTTTATTCCATGTTTTGTTTAGCTCCCAGTCTCTCTCAGCCCGAAGTTCAGCTGAAACTCCTCACAATTTTTATCACATGACTGTTGGTCACATCTGAATCAGTCTTAGACATTAAGTTGCACAGCAGCACAATGAATTTTTAGTTTTTTTACAGCATCTGGCTCAACTAAATGCTTAATTTTAAGTGAGACATGTGAAGTAAAGTTGTTTTTTTTAATGAAATATCCCAGTTTGGAGTTTGGATTTGGTTCATTTTTCTCACACGATTACTTCAAGGACCGTCGGAAAGTTGAAAATCCAGCGATTCTTTCTGTTTCTCCATTTTCTTGTTCATATTTTTGTCAAGACAACTTGACTTTTCGACCCGACGGCAGGTTTCGGGGTTGGTAAACCTCTGTGCTGTTTCTGTGTTTCCAGATTAACCGCAGCGACAGCGACAGCTCCACCCTCTCCAAGAAATCGCCATTTGTCCGAAATGCCTCGGAGAGACGCAGCATGCGCATGAAGAAGGTAAAAACGAACTCGTCGTCCCTGCTGTTAACTGTCTTCTGTGTCAGAACTTTTACGATTTCCCACTTTAATGGAAAAATAACTTGCTTATGAAGTTCTGTACAGAACAAAAGAGACAAATAGTCGTAAAATCTGACAAAATAACAAGTCAAACATAGAAAATGATGACTGCAGTCATGTATTGGAGTTATTCGATTCTCCCATGTGCTTTTTCTTTAGGCGGCTTTACTGAGAGCAGCTGCATCTTTATACTTTAGCTTAAATGAGAAACTTAACTAATGAGATTTGTGGCTGAACTCTGGTTCTCTTCTCTTCCTCCTGTTGTCTGTAAATCCTCCGTCTCCTTCCTGCTTCTCAACAGTTTAATATCAAACATTTAGCTTTACCGTCCACGTTAACTGTCGTCTCAGTTCCCCTGGAGGAGGGAGCAGGAGAGTCCATTTGCATTTTTTTTTTTTTGAGCCTTAAAGCCGCCCCACTGAAGTGACTCTTAATATTTAATAACCGTCTGAATGTTTAATGCATCTCTGACATTTGGCAGCTTCTATTAATTTGGAGGCCGGCAGCAGATTCTGCCCCGGTGTCCCTCCTGAAATTCACACAGTATTTTTGAATAACTGGAGGTGCTGCTGAGCGCTCAGGTGACTTTTCAGCAACAGCTTTAGACACACTTCTTTGTGAATGTGTTCACAAGCTAATACAAGGCGAGCGCTGGAAGGAGCTGGAACGTAACACTGAACAGGCTGTAACACTCCACAACCTGCCATGCATGTCTAGCTCGTTGGTTTTTTATTTGTTGCCCTGATCTCAGGCTTACAGGCTCATTTAACAGGCTGTGCAACACTTAAAACTGAAATATTTTTGGGAAAACATCTAGTTTTTAGAGTTTTTCTTACAGTTATTGCAATTTAATTTGCAGCTCGACTCATACACGCACGCTAACATGAACGAGCTGCGTTAGCAAAGGAACTTTTAAACAGTCTTTTTCTTAACCTTGCACATTCTTTCAGAGGTGAAAGAATTCATCTCTGTGGTGCAGAAGCAGTAAAAGCTAGTGTTTCTAGACAATTAATGCTAGAAAGGTTAATATACAAGAGTCACTTTTAATCCTATTCTGTAGCCAGGTCATATCTAAAAAATGTAAATCTTTATTCCCGGGTTGTAAATAGTGCTTCACATTTTCTGTACATATTGTCTGTAGCTACGCAGGCTCTTTGTTTTGTGTGTACTATTTACAACTGTGTATGTAACGAATAAATTTGATTTGATTTGAATATGATATAAAGGAAAAGGCATGCACAGTGACACAACCACTCTTCATAAAGGAATTTCTGTCACAAAAATGATTAAAAAGATGTCAAACTGATAAAGGAGATGTCAGAAATGTGTCATAGATCAGCTGTAGTACCTGGTTGTTCCACCAGGTGGAGCCTCTCACTATTTAATACTGTAGAGTCCAGAGGAGGCGTCACTCAGACTACAGGAAGTTCATATTGGTAGCAGAGAGCATTGTGGGGGTTTAGCTAACAACGGGACCACGACAAAGACTTCTGTGGCAGTTAATGACCTCCAGCCATCAAGGATCTAATCACACACTGATTATGTGGCAGATTTATAAGGAAATTTTCCAAAATTTTAATTCATAACCTCCTGCCACAAATAGTTCTCTTCCTCTACAACATCTATGTGACAGCAGACGCAAACAACGATCTGGACTTTGGTCTGTGCCGATACGGTTTTGGTTTAAAATTCCTCGATGAGCTCTGATCCGGACAGACAACCTAATCACCTGCCTGTCTTCCCGTCAGCCTCCGGTGCAGGTCAAAGGTCTGGATGGCCTCCTGCGGACCTCCCTGGACCTGGAGTTGGACCTGCAGGTGTCTCGGACTCGGCAGGCCCGGCTGGCGCAGGAGCTGCGGGTTCTGCGGGAGCTGAAGTCACAGCTGGAGAAGGCGAGGCAGAAGGGCCAGAGGGAGCTGCCGGCCTGGGTGCAGGAGGACGAGCGCTTCCGGCTCCTCCTCAGGCAGGCCGAGAAACAGGTGGGCGACCCAAGACAGGAGCAACTTTCAGAACCAGAAATACTTTACTAATCCCAGAGGGGAGACTGGAAGTGTTACAGCTGCTCCCAAGAATATCAGTTCAAAATTGTAGATAAACACACGGACCAAATGTGACCAAAGGGCGCTGGTCAGTAATTTCTTTCTTTAACTTTTTGCTCAGACTTGTGAGGAGCAGCTGCAGGAGAAGCGAGTGGAGAAGATGATGAGGGCTGCAGCCAAGGACGTCCACAAGATCCGAGGCCAGAGCCGCAAAGAAGTCCCTGAGGTCCAGACCTTCAGGTACGAGATCCGCTTTCAGTCGGTGCAGCGAATCGGGTGGACAGATGCACTTTTTAAGTAATACATGAGGTTGATGTCGCTCATACGCCAGCAGCTGGTTAGCTTAGCTTAGCATGAAGCCTGGAAACAGTAAATGGCATGCTGGGCTCCATCCAAAGGTTAGGAAGCAGGTTTGGGTTAAATTGAGAAGTGAATTTATTTTATTGATCCATTCTGTTGTATTTAGTCAAACACTCAGCTGAGTCCATCATGACTTCCTGGTTTTACACAAAATGTTTTGCTTTTTACGGAATTGGATGCAAAAGGGTTTTTTGCAACCTTTTAAACGAGATGTGCAAAGTTTAAAAGTGATAATTTTATGCTTTGATTTGGTTAATTTTCCAGATAGAACCTCACTTTACACACGAGTAGTTCAAGGACCAGTGGATTGTTGAAAATCTGACCTTTCTTTCTGTTTTGAAAGTTTCTGAGTTGGATAAATGGTGTAATTGTACAATAAAAAAACAAA